AAACTTGCTTACTAGATATAAATAATATACATATATTATTATATTCCAATACCATTCTCACCCAATCCACAAATCTGCATATATGTACTACATTTATTTTTTTCACCATTTTTCAACCCGTAAACGGAGCAGTGTGGTATTTTAAAAGTATATTTACCTAACTGGAGGTTGTCTGGCACATGAGACGAAGACATTAATCTATATAAACACGACAAAATTAATTTTCAATATTAGCAACATCATCTCGTCCACTCTTACTAAACCTTTAATTTTTGCTATTATTATCAAAATCCAGCAGTGAGTAATGTTTAATTATTATTCATTATTGTTTCGAGCAATGCAATATATGAATCAGAATTATGTGGTGCAAATATTATTGTTATTTTAAAGTGCGAGAAAACGAAAATATGACTACACACGAGTAACACGGATGGGAGTGTATGTTCCTGTTAAATTCTACCCAACAGTTCTATATTTTTATTTAGTAAATCAGATCGTGACTCTAATGAATGTCGGCAAGGAATTTATGCAGTGTGTAATTTTCTGGTTCTGTAAATACATTTGAGTTAAATCAAGTACCTGCAAATAGTTAAATTAATGAAGGCAGCTGCAAATGGTGAAGCAGTACAGAGCTACTATCGTTCAATATTAGTTGGCATTCAATATTGAGGCCGATAAAAACATTGTATAATTTACAGTGTATAATTCCGTTACACAGGATGTATAAAGCTTGTGTAAAAACACGTTGAAAGCAATAACAAAAAACATCAATGATCTTTTGTATGTAAGTATTCAGAATATCATGTATACATTAATTTTAGGGCTTCCGGTTCGCGGACATTGTTGCGATCCGACTTAACATATTAAAGACACTGGTATAACCTGTGTGCCTCTTACTCTGTACGGATTGGTATAGAATAGTAATGGGTATATTAAAAACCACAAACCATGTACAACAATAGTACGCAACCTCCTGATATATACATTTCCCCAATCCAACCGTTCGGGTATAAAACCTAAAAATTTTCAAGATGTTAAAGCGGGAGGGTCGTCACCTTCGCACGCACGAGAATTGAGTCCCAAGCGATGATAACAACACACGCTAAAAACATAATGGCTCATGGGTAGACGCTTGTTTGTAAATGATGACGCGCTATGGCCATCTGACGCATGCGCAGGTGACGACTCCCCCGCTTTAACAATTAATGGCACGTATTTTGCTATGAATTCCGTATGCCATATTGAAAATATGGCTTAATCATTCCATATTCAGAATTCACTTTCCCTTCCCCAATACAGATAACTCACTAAATACCACAAAATTAAGGCACACTGTAACTTACAAATTGTTTATTACAACCCAATAAGACCATTTTCTCCTGCCCACAACATTGTTTCCTTCTCGGACTCGTTCACTCTATGTCTTCTCTCTCCATTACCCGAGACGCCATAGGACATACGTCTCAAATTTAATATGCATGAATAATCATAGCATGTGAGCAACTGTGACGTAATTAGGTAGATATTATACTAACCTTTTCAATCACAGGTTTTTTCATAATAATAGATAATATAATATAATATAATATAATATCTTGAACAAACATTGTCATGGTTATTCTCGAGAATAATTAAGCCAATCTTAGTGCTATCCTGTTAATTCTATGTATCATAAATACGTTATATGATAACAATGACGCCCCAAAACAGCGCCACCACACGAACAAGTTTTAGCTTACCTTTCGCTTGACCATCGTCCGATCAGAGTTTTGAATTTATGGGTGTTGTCACCAAGCATGGATCATACAATCTTATATAGTTCCTGGGGTTTTTACTGGCTCATAAAGTTAGATATAGTTTAACCCGAAACGATTAGGATTTCGTGTATTTCCATATGCATTAGACCTTTTAGTAGTAGTGAGTATTAAGATGATGAGTTTACATCACAAACTAGAAACACAATGACATTGTCACCAAGTTAGATTGAAATGTTCTCTGCTTCCAGTCTGTTATATATTGCATTGCATTACATTGTTGTTATTTTACTATTGTGATGAAAGATAGAAAGCTTTAACGAGTATAAATGTCATATTGACAAAATATAAAGGCAGGCACTCTGTGTGGTCCTTTGTGATTACTCGATTCCGGTAGCGCTTCGCGATGTTTTGGATTACGAATTGAATCGCTTTTTTTAAGTGTATTAAACTACATTGTTATAGAACAATTTGTCGCAATATTCTACACGATACGTCAGACGTTTAGGAAAGTGACATAGAATTACCATTCTGGAATGAGTTAAGTTATCGTTATGTGCAATAGAGGTAACCACTTTAAGTTTTTTTTTGTTTATTAGACGTCTAGTCATTCTTAAAGCGGGGGAGTCGTCACCTGCGCATGCGTCAGTTGGCCATAGCGTTTGCCTTTGCGATTTTAGCTTGTGTTGTTATCGTCGCTTGGG